CTTGATAAAATAAAATCTTTTCTTTTGCAGTTAGAGGCCGAAAAGAAGTCGGACACTAAAGAGGAAGTTAGAGTTCAGAGGACACAGACTCAGCAATCTCAAGCCGCCGAAAACAAGTGTCACAGATGCAATGGAGTCGGTCATTGGGCAAAAAATTGCCATCTGCAAAACAGTGGTCAGTGGTTTTGCTATTACTGCCAGGCCATTAGAAATCATAAAGGTGATGAATGCCGCAATGCCAAAAACAAACAAGGTAAGAAGTTCAAACCTAATGATTTCAATAAAAATAAGAACGAATCAGACGCTAAAAACAAAAACAAAAATAAGAGTTTTAATAAAGAAGGAAAAAACAATTTCAAGAAGTCCAATAAAGAGAAAAACAAATCCGATGGATCATCAACAACTGGATCCAAAAATCAGAAGTCTCAACAGGAGAAAAATAAAGAACAGGGAAATAAACAAGGTAAGACTCGATTTGTACAATGTTCAATAGAGTCAAAAGAGACAATTGATTTTATTGCTGATTCAGGTGCCACAGATCACATTGTTAATAAAACTTTAATTTTAAGTGACTTTAAACAATGTGAAAAAGAAGTTATTAAGAGTGCAAATAAAAATGAATATGCAGATATTGTTATAGATGGAAAGGGAGATCTTTTGTTGCAAACAGACACGTTTAATAAAGAAATTTTTAAGTTAACAAATGTTATTGCAGCAAGGGATGTCTCTGAAAATTTATTGTCTTTGAGAAGACTAACTGATGCAGGTTACTGTATTTATTTAGATGACAAATCTCTTAAAGTTTTTGATAAAAACACAGAGAAAATGATTTTAGAAGGTACATACGAAAAACCAAATTGGGTAGTTCGTTTTAATGTAAGAAAGAGTGAATTTGAAACTGACAAAAATTTAGAGTATGAAAGATTTTCTTGTAAAGCAAGAATGGTGACTAATCTTCAGCTTCCTGAACAATCACAAACAAACATTGCAAACAAAGAGTCCTAGAATTCGGAGGGAGAAAATAAAGAGTTGAGCAATGTTGGTTATGCGATTGGGAGGGAGAATGAAGAGAAGCTTACAGATGTTTCAAAAGTTAAAGAGTTAGAGTTAGATGATAAATTATTTAGAGATAGTGATACCAATTTCATTTCTAGAGAAACAATAAAGATAGATGATTTAGAGTCTTTGAACAATTTAGAAGAAATATTTATTACAAGTCCTTTAGTGATAAAACCAACTAATTTTAAGAGATTTAATGAGGCAATGATGTGGCACGTTAGGTAAGGTCATGCCTCATTAAGCTATCTTAAGAAATTGCAAAAAGTTCAAAAAGTATTAGAGAATGTAAAATTTAATGATTCGATTTTAGATTGTGAAATTTGTATTATGTCAAAGATGGAAAAATTACCTTTTAAAGAGAGTAGGAAAAGAGCTAATCGACCCATGCAATTTATCCATACAGACACTATGGGACCCATTAAACCTTTCTCTCATCCAAGTTTGAAAAAGTTTATCGTGGTTTTTGTCGATGATTTTTCTAGATTCGCTAAAGCATATTCTTTAAAGTCAAAAGACAAAACTGCAATTTCTTTTGAAAATGATCTAATGTCTGCAAGAAACTTATTAGGTAAAAATGAAAAAGTGTGTTATATTAAATCTGACCAAGGCACAGAATTTACGGGAGGAAATTTTTTAGATGTTATTAATAAAGAGAAAATAGAGATTCAACCGTCACCACCGTATACTCCAGAACACAATGGAGTAGCCGAAAGATTTAATAAAACTATTCAAGGAAAAGTTCGAGCGTACATGCTTGATTCAGGTTTACCGAAAAGTATGTGGGAACTTGCTGTTGATGCTGCTGTGCATGCATACAATAGGACTCCCCACAAAAGTATAGAATTTGAAGTTCCTTTAGAGAAATTCACACCAAACTCAAATTGCCACTTTTATCGAATTAAGAGATTTGGTTGTATTGCGTATGTAAAAATACCAAAACCAGACTCTAAATTTAGTCAAAGGGCAATAAAATGTGTATTGGTGGGATATAAGAGTACTGCCTATTTACTGTGGCATCCAAGCACAGGTAAATTCATTGAATCTCGTCATGTTAGATTTAATGAAAAACTTGTGTATAAAGATGTTTATAGGAGAGATCCAACTAAGAGTAACATCGACTTAGACGATTCAAATGAAAGAAATGAAGAAATTAAGTGGGATTGTTCAACAGAAACTAAAGAGATGAATACTAAAGAGAAAGACAATTGGGAGAAAGCAATAAATGAAGAAATTAAGTCCTTGAATTCTAACGATGTCTGGGAATTAGTAAACCGGACGAAAACAATGTTAGATGGAAGGAAAGCAAATATAATAGATTCAAGATGGATTTTTAAGAAGAAACTACAAGCTGATGGAACAACATGATTTAAAGCAAGGTTAGTTATTAGAGATTTTAAAGACAGAAACATATGTGATTTAAAGGACACTTATGCACCTGTCTCAAGATTACCAGTTGTAAGAGCGCTGCTTTCAATTATTAACAAGTACAATTTATTTGCTTGTCAATTAGACGTGAAAACAGCCTTTTTAATTGGTATTTTAGAGGAAGAGATATATATGAAGATTGCAGATGGTTAACCTTTTGATAAGAAGACAAAAGAAACAAAAGTATGCAAATTGAAGAGAAGCTTATATGGTCTAAAAATTAGCCCTAAAAAGTGGAACAAAAGATTTACAAAAGAGATGCATAAACTCGGATTAGAGAACGATCTTCATGAACCCTGTTTATTTACTTGGAGAAAAGATGGTAAATTAGCAGTGGTTCTGATCTATGTAGATGACATGCTTATTGCAAGCAATGATAAAGAGATATTAGAGAAAATCAAGAAATGCCTTAGCCAATCTTTTGAATTAACAGATCTTGGAGAACCTAAGAATTTTCTAGGAATTACAATAGAGAGAAATAAAGAGGAAAATGTTTTGCTTATCCATCAAGCAAATTATGTGGAAAGTATCCTAGAAAAATTCAACATGAAGGACTGTAAACCTCAAAGTACCCCAATGGTCACTAAACAAGTGAACAATAGGAACAAAAAGAGGAAATTAGAAGAGGACACTAAGAACGAAACTCAAACCCAAGAGATCCAAAGAGTACCATACAGAGAAGCTATTGGAAGTCTAATGTATTTGTCAAATGCAACACGTCCTGATATAACATTTGCAGTAAACTACCTGGCAAGAAAACAGGTAAATCCAAGTGAAGAGGACTGGACTTATGTTAAGAGAATCTTCCGATACTTAAGAGGAACTACACATGTAGGATTAAAATTTAGAGGTAATACTGAAGAGTTAGAAGCATTAACAGATGCAAGTTTTAGAGACTGCGATGATTCAACTTCTACTGGAGGTTATGTAATTAAGTTTTTCGGAGATGTCATAGCGTGGAGAAGTCACAAACAATCATATGTGACATTATCAACATGTCAAGCAGAATATCTTGCCATGAGTGATGCATGCCAAGAATTAATTTCTCTTGACAAATCAACCAGATACATCATCGGAAGATCTCTTTTTCCTGTGACAATCTGGTGTAATAATAGATCAGCAGGTGACTGCACTAAGAAAGATGGCAGTCACAAGTTAAAGATGTTTGATGATAATTTAGAGGAAATTAATAAGAGTCTTGAATATAGAGAAGAAAGAGGAAATAGAAAGCACATGGCTAACACTCATGGTGATTTTGTTAAGCAATGTGTTGAAGAAGTAAGAGTAAAAGTAGAGTGGATTGCAACTAAAGAGAACATAGCAGACATAATGACAAAACCACTACCTTTAGAAGCACATAAATATTTAAGAGATAAAATGTTAGAAGATTAGAGTGATTAGATGTTAGAAAATAATAAGAGATTAGAAAGACAAAATTTAAGATTTATAACATGAGTATGAATGTCATATTTGAATTAAAATTGAAGTTAATTTATAATCCTTTCTTTGTTCACAGACAAATGCAAACATTAAGAGTTGATGTGCCAATATAGAAGATGCCTAAGATTAAATAAGAAGTTGTCATTTAAGACGTGATAAAACGCCAATCAAAGATTTAGTTTATAACTTTAATTTTAATTTTTGACAAGTATTAATATAACGAAAGATACAAATTTTGTGATATGCATTTGATGGTTTGTTAAAGTGCAGTATTATTACTTTGATATTGTAATATAAGACCAAAGATACTCAAATTTTATATTATAAATTTGTTGCTCAAATATTAATATTTCTTTATATATGTCGTAGGCAAGTAGAAGAATCAGGCATTTAGCTTAATTCCTAGGCATTAAGCTAAATTTAGGCAAGTAGAAGAATGAACATGAGGAGGACGCGCATTCTTCTACCTGCCTGGATTCAGTCAGTCATTAAGCTTATTGCCTAGGCAATAAGCTAACTGCCTGAAGTCAACAATTTCGTAATTATTTACGTAATAATAGTCAGCCTGGTTCTTTTTTAAACCTACTTTGGCAGACTTTAATATTTTTTTAACGTTCTCCAATTGTTTTCTATTCCAGAAACACCTATTACTAGACTTTTTGCTCATCACTTCATCGCACTTTTTTTCAAAATCTAATTGATCCACTATATTCAATTCCATTTTTAAATTATTGGGAAAAATTGTCAACCGTTAGTTTGCACGAATATCGAGAAACTGAATTTTATTCTGAATATTATAAAATAAATACAAATTAGCGATTACTTCTAAATAACTACAATTATTCATTCTAATAAATTAGTGTTTCGAAAGTTTGTTTTCAAATCTCTGTTAAATAATAATACAAATTGACGTTTATTTCTAATTAATTAAGTGTTTCAAAAGTTTATTTTTATATCTATGTTTATATACAGTCATAGAATATTGTATCTTTTCTATTTGCCGAGGAACTTCAGGCAGTTAGCTTATTGCCTAGGCAATAAGCTTAATGACTGACTGAATCCAGGCAAATAGAAGAATGCGCGTTCTCCACATGTGCATTCTTCTATTTGCCGAGGACACTTCAGGCAGTTAGCAAATGCCTAGGCAATAAGCTTAATGACTGACTGAATCCAGGCAGGTAGAAGAATGCGCGTCCTCCTCATGTTCATTCTTCTATTTGCCTAAATTTAGCTTAATGCCTAGGAATTAAGCTAAATGCCTGATTCTTCTACTTGCCTACGACATATACTTACTAAATATATATATATATATATATATATATATATATATATATATATATATGTGGCATTCCACCTCAAGTGATCCGGGCATAATTTGGAATGTTTGGGATCAGGTTAAAAGTTTGTATAAACAGTAGTCCTATTAGATACAATTAAAAATACAAAATATTATTAATTTATTTAAACAAATGTAAAAACTGGAGGGGGTCAAAGTTTAAATTTTTGATCTTACATGGAATATTTGAAAAATTCGTAGTTTCTTTAAAAGAAAACGAAAAGATGTTTTCTATTTTGGGATTTTTTGCTGTTTTCCAACACTTTCTAATGGTGTAAACAAATTTAAAAAAAATAATTTTTTTGACCTTGAAAAATTAAATTAAAAAATAAAATTTCATTTTTTTATGAAATGGACATTTTTTATTTAAAAAAAAATTTTTTTTTCATAAAGGTGAGGTTTTTTCCTAAAAAAATTATGTAGGTCAAAACGTGGGACAAGAACTTTTAACTGGTCAAAATAAACATTTACTTCCGCAGTATACCTCCGCTGCGCGTTGTTAGGCTGTATATTGTTTATAACAACTGAAATAAATTATTTTATGCTTTATGAATTATCTGGTGGTCATATTGGATAAATTTAAATTGATTTAGATCATGTGCAGCAACGGAATAAGAAAATAAATGTCCTTTTTTAAAAAAGTGTATTAATTTGTTAACTTTAATTTAAAAAAAATTATAAACAATTAAAATCTCAAAAATCGGCTTCGAGGGATGTATTAAGAATTTACTCCCCTTTAATTTAAAACAGAGAACATTCAAATCGGTTAAAAATTGTAAGCTGTAGACATTTTTTAACAGTAAATTGTAAAAAAATTTCCACTGTGGGCCGGTGCACTGCAGAAGTAAATGCTTATTTTGACCAGTTAAAAGTTCTTGTCCCACGTTTTGACCTACACATTTTTTTTAGGAAAAAACCTCACCTTTATGAAAAATTTTTTTTTTTTAAATAAAAAATGTCCATTTGATAAAAAAATGAAATTTTATTTTTTAATTTAATTTTTCAAGGTCAAAAATTTTTTTTTTAAATTTGTTTACACTATTAGAAAGTGTTGGAAAACAGCAAAAAATCCCAAAATAGAAAACATATTTTCGTTTTGTTTCAAAGAAACTACAAATTTTTCAAACATTCCAGGTAAATTTGACCTCCGGATCACTTGACGTGGAATGCCACATATATCTAAATATACTTTTTCAAATCGACAAAGGGAGGGAGTGTGAAGTTTTAATTGCTTTGTCGATACTTTTACGTATAAGTCGATCGATGATAATCGATCGATCATGTATCGAAGACGTTCGATACATGAACCTTTGTTCGAATCACATCACTTCGTGTATGCGATCGGTATAGATAACATTATCATAAAGACTATTTTTTTGTTATAGAGTATTAACTAAGAGTATAGTGGTAATTAGAGTTTCTATAAAGAGTTTCAATAAATATATGATTACTTGACCGATTAAAACGAAACTTCACATACTCCTAGGTATTAGTCTAACTTAAAAGTCCTAGCCATATCTGATTGAAAAATATTAAGCTTAACAAAAGTTATAGCTTTTTTCACAAAATTCAAAAAATGCAAATTTTTTAATTTTCTGTAAAATTGATGTGACACTTTTTGTAGCTACTTTTTAATATAAATACAACTAATTTTCACTATAAAAATGAAATATAAATAATAAATCCGAATTTTTAAGCCAAAGGTCATAAATTTGATGTCTATTACAAATTTTCTAAAATCAATTAACGTGAGTTTGCAAACAATTTCTATATTGATATTTTAAGGTTTAAATGTTTAAAAATCTCATAGTATGTATTGTCATATTTAAGGTGGAAAATAAAATATGGGGCAAAATTCCTTAACTGTCCAGGTCAAAAAATGAATTTTCTCTAAATTTTGCTAAAATGTTACTATTATTATTAGTAGAAGTGTAAATATAAATTTTTTTTGTCCTACCTGCACGGAAAGTATGTCATTTCGGGCACTTAGAGCGGGCGCAAAGTATCTCATTCCCACCCAGGGCAGGGGAAGCGGGCGCAAAATATTTTGCGCCCGCTTCCCTTCCTCCGAACTGGCGGAGAAAATTTTGCGCCCGCATGTTAATTATTCGATTTTCTTCATTAAAATGCGATATTTTCGACTTTTTTTTTATGTTAACTATAAAAATTCAAACATTTTTAACTTGTTTTATTTTGTCTAGAAAAATGTGCAATTTTTTTTCGATTTTTTCTAAAAAATATATGACAAATTTGGTTTTGTTCCCATTTCGGTTGTAAAAATTGTCAATTTTAAATACATTGTTTTCTTATTTCTATATTAAAACTTATATCATTATAGACTTCAAAGAGTTAACATTTATATAGGGTTTAATTTTTAATTAATATACACAGAAAAAAACTTTACTCAAAATGAGTATTATATGATACTCATTTTGAAGTGCAACAAAAATGATACCCCTTCGACTCATTCTGAGTTTCTGGGGAAAAGACTCAAAATGAGTAAAATCGGGATCATTTTGAGTTTATGAAAAAATTACAATAACATTGGAATAACTGGGAATAATTCATAAAAATATAAATTAAAATCATTGTATATAATGAATAAACACGTTGGACTTGTCAAAACATTAATACTTGAAGTCGATTTGTCGCATTTATGAGAATTTAAAAACAATCTTTTAGGTTAGTCACTTGTGAATTGACTGACAGGGATGGCAACCATATAAAGGCGCGTATTCACTAGACGAGCGCAACACGAGCGCAACACGAATGACCGATATTTTTCTATTGTGTGTTCGATTCGGTCCATGCTCTAAGTCGATCCACCAAATTTTCCCTGCAAAGTCACATGGTTTTAACGTTCGTCTAGCCTCAAGAAAATGTGTGCTACATGTGTAGTTATTTTGAAGCATTCGTCACTATTTTTATGTACATGTAAAGAAAAGGGTAGAAAAAAATTTGGGTCCGTTCGGTTCGCGCTCGAAGCCGATCCATCGGCTGTCGGTCTATGACAGTACCTCAAAGCTACAATAGAAGTGTGTATATTGTACCTCACTTTTTTGTATTTGCGAGTCCAATAGGAAATTCAAATAGTTTCTAAAAATATGTCAGTAAAATTTTAGCTGGTATTTTTTGCAATTTTTAATAACTTATTAAAGATATAAAACAAATTACTGATTAATTAAAAAATATAAAAAATAAATATATGACTTATTTACAATAAAAAAATCTTGGAGTGTAAGTCGAATTTTACTAAATCAATTAATACTTTAATATCAAATATTAGTAAATTTTAACAAACAGTCAATCACTCTTAACTGCCTTTCTAAATCTGAACCCAAGTAGCATGTAACGTTACTTTCATGTTACATGTAAGTAATATTACAAAGTAACATTACAGTAATATTACAATGTAACATTACAGTAACATTACAATTAATAATTAATGTTACAGTAATGTCACTGTAATGTTACAGCAGTATCACAGTAATGTTACAAAGAAAGTTTAGCTAATTATAGTTGCACGGAATTTTGAGATCTTTCTTTTGTAGCATTACTGTGACACTGTTATAATATTACTGAAACATAACAGTGTCATTACGATATTATGTAATGTCACTGTAACATTATTTAAAATTTAACTATGTAATGTCACTGTAACATTACTTGTAATATAACCTTGGAGTGGACATTTTAATATTAATGGAATGTCACTATAATGTTACATTATAATATTACTAATAGTAATTGAAAAGTTCTAATGTTCAAGTTTATGGTTTTAAAGTTGAGTAGAAAATGTTTCTGAAGTATCAGCAAAAAACTGGGAATCTCAGAAAATTTTGTGCTTTATGACAGTAATAAAAAAATATCGAAAAACCTTGTTTCTCAAATCTTTTTATTATAGCACATCTGCAAATAAATACGTGCTTTTCCAAAAACGTAGGTAAATGTTTAACCAAAAATGAAAAAAGGAAGGGTAACTTTGCATTATTTAAACTTTTAACTGAGTTTAGGCTTCGATATCTAAGGAGTGGCATCATCAGTTTTTGCTCAGCCCTTGAGTGATCATTTACTGTGGAAATTCATGTGAAGTGTTATTTGTGATATATTAAATCTGTAATTGTGAAAGTGGTTTATAATATTTGCAATATTAAAATGGCAGATATTGATAACATTTCAGATGAGTTTATACTACAGTTTATTGAAACTTTTAAAGTGTACACCGTGCTATGGGATCCAACTGATAAGAATTACATGAGAAAAAATTTAAGAATTGATGCTTGGAATTATGTTTCAAATTCGATAGGTTATTCTATTGATTGGTGTAAAAAAAAGATTTTAAGCTTAAGAGCATCATATAGAAGAGAAAAAAAGAAAGAAAAGGAATCAAAGGGAACTGGAAAAGGTAATTTTTATTTATAATTTATATAAAATGTCTTTAATTTCCAATTTAGTACTGTCGCCCTATAAAGAAAATAAAATTAATACCTGATTTTTAACTATACTCAACATATAGTGTAAAAAAGAGAACAATTAAGTAAACTGAGTAGAATAACACAAAGATGATTTATAAATTCAGCAATTTACTAATGTTTAAAACTACAATAGTTGTTATTTCCTAATTAAACACCCAAAGCGTAAAAGTGCTTGAATTTTTTCTCAATATTGCAATTAACTAAACTAGAAATAATAACACAATGTTATTTTATAAATGTAGCAATTTACTAATGTTTAAAACTGCAATTGTTGTTATTTCCTAATTAAACACCCAAAGCGTATAAGTGTTTGAATTTTTCCTGAATTTTGAAATTAACTAAACTAGAAAGAATAACACAATGGTATTTTAAAAATTTAGCAATTTACTAATGTTTAAAAATACAATTGTTGTTATTTCCTAATTAAACACCCAAAGCGTATAAGTTCTTAAATTTTTACTTAGTTTTGCATTTAACTAAACTAGAAAGAATAACACAATGGTATTTTAAAAATTTAGCAATTTACTAATGTTTAAAAATACAATTGTTGTTATTTCCTAATTAAACACCCAAAGCGTATAAGTTCTTAAATTTTTACTTAGTTTTGCATTTAACTAAACTAGAAAGAATAACACAATGGTATTTTAAAAATTTAGCAATTTACTAATGTTTAAAACTACAATTGTTGTTATTTCCTAATTAAACACCTAAAGCGTATAAGTGCTTGAATTTTTCCTCAATTTTGAAATTAACTAAACTAGAAATAATAACACAATGTTATTTAATAAATTTAGCAATTGTTTTCAGGAGGTGATGAAGTTTATCAGAGTAGATGGTTTGCTTACGAAGCAATGAGATTCTTAAATGACAAAGATAAACCACGAAAACGATTAAACACAGTAAGTAAATAATTTTTTATTTTACACTTGTAACCTAAAATCCAAGAGAGAGAATGTAGAATAAAATGTTCTTGTATATATTGATAGAAACTTTATTTTCACTTGAGATATTTTCTATTTAACAATGATTTTAATTATGCATATGAATTTTCACATTCCACAGAACCTTCTTTAAGAAAGTAGTCTGCAACTTCGTTTCGAATTTGATCATAATAATGTTTTCCCCTTCTTGGTACATTCGATAATGGAACCAATGACGTCATATCTTGATCATGTCTCCAAGATCCTTCCACGAAAACATTATTTTCTTCGCGATCAAATGATTCTCGTGGTGGGTAAATATTTGGTGAATGTTTCCTTAAATAATTGTGAAGATGCAGGCATGCGAGAACAATTACTTGTGCAATATGTGGTTGCAAAAGCATTGGTCTTCTTAAAAATCTAAATACTGAAGAAATAATATCAAACGCATTTTCTACAACTCGACGAGCCCTACTTAGTCGGTAGTTAAAAATTCTTTTCGCACTTCCTTTTATATGATCTCCTGGAAATGGTTTCCAGAGATTTTTATTCATGGAAAATGCAGAATCGCCAACAAAAAAATATGGAATCTTCATTTCACGTCCTGGTAAATTTTCTTCTGCTGGTAATCTTAAGTTCTCTTCAGACATCATTTTGTAAAGTAATGAATCTTTCAAAACACCACCATCTGAAATTCGTCCTTGACATCCGACATCAGCAAACATAAAATTGTAATCTGCATCAACTACAGCCATTAAAACAATACTAAACTGTGATTTGTAGTTGAAGAATTCAGTTCCTGAATTTATTGGTGATTGTAATATAACATGCTTTCCATCAATTGCTCCAACACAGTGCGGTAAATTCCATAGTTGGTGAAAATTTTTTTCAACTTCTATCCAAGCTGCTTCGTTTGTAGGTATCTACAAAAAAACTTCGAATAATGAAAAGTCCAGTTGAGAACACAACCTTGCGATAATCTTTTATCAATATTGCAATATTTCGGGAAGCTTTCACTATACGCTTATTACAATATTGTCGTAAACATACAGCAAAAATATTATTATATAAAGTTAATTAATTTTGATCTCGTAAAAGAAATTTTTTAGCAGCAAGCTTACGGTAATTTTTCTGCATGCTTACGTCGAAATTTCTAGGCAATATTGCAGTAAGCTTAACGTGCAATATAGTAGCAAGCTTCCCATGGATGGGACATTTCAACCTTCCTACAAGGTTACGTGCCATCTAGGTAGAAAAAATGATATTAACGCTAGGTTGCACCGTACAATAATTGCTAGGTTGTAAGCAAGATTTAAATTTTTTTTTCATTTTTCAATAATTTTATCTAACATATGTAAAAAATGTGTTAATGGGGTTGAATTTAAAAATTTTAAATCTTTTATAGGAACAAACAACAGAATTAGATAAAGTCTCAGACAACGAGGACGTTAATATTGAGAAAGAAGATGATTCTAATTCAATGACAAATATACAAGTACCAATTTCACAACCTCAAACACCACATCCACAAGCACTAACACCACAACCATCAATGCAACAAACTCCCACATCACAAGCACCGATATCACGAAAAAGAAGAAGAGGAGAAAATAATGATAACATGATTTGTGAATGTTTGACTATCATGAGAAACGCTTCTAGTCGCCTGGAACAACAAAATTCAAATTCGTTAACTACAATTTTTGGAAATTTAGTTATGGGGAAAATGAATACTTACAGTAAACGAACAAGACAATTGGTTAAAAGTGAAATTTATAACATTTTAGCAAAAGCTGATCAAGGATATTATGATAATCTAAGCTCTAACACGCAATTTAATATTTCTCAAACAACTTATGCCTCACAGACAAACATCCCTACGTTTTTCCCATCTTATCCACCATCAACTACAAGCCAACGTCCTAACATATCTTTTGAAAATTCATCTCACTTTCAGTCTTATTTCCCAATGACACCTACAACTTCATCGTACAGTCCTTCTTCCTTACATACTCATTCGCCTATGACACCAAACTCTTCTTACACACAAATATTTAATTATCCTTCTGAATCTCAAGCTACTCACACACCAAATTCGGTTTACACACAACCTTTCAATAATTCTCCATCTCAATAAGTTTTAAATTTATAAATAAACATTTGTTATAACATTTTATGATTTTAAGTAATTAGAGTAGTATAGCTAGGCGGGTTCTGGGCCACTTACCTACAGTCGGTAAGGTAGATTTCTTAAATAGTGAACTTCCAAGTGGCTTAGAAGGGGTGTTCTGTTTTACCGACCAAGTTTTTACTACCGGCTGCCACCGCTAGATGGCGCCACTTTATTTTTTGTTCAATTTAAACCCCCTTAGAGGGGTATTAAAATTTTTATTTTTGAATTTTCAAGTGGGTTAGAAGGGGTGTTCTGTTTTACCGACATCTGAGTTCCGGCTGCCACCGAGAGATGGCGCCATTTTATTTTTTGTTCAATTTAAACCCCGTTAGAGGGGTATTTAAATTTTTATTTTCGTAATTTAAAGTTGCTTAGAGAGGGTGTTCTGTTTTACTGACAACTGACTTCTGGCTGACACCGAGAGATGGCGCCATTTTATTTTTTTGGTGTGAGGTGATTTTAAGTTTCACGTTCAAAATTGACTATATTTACTGTAGGCTGACACTAATAGATGGCGCCACTGTCAATCAAGTGAAAGTCTGTTGCTTTAAATAATAGTTTAATTTTATCATATTCTTTTAAGTCGTTTGGATTTTATTAATTTCAAATTTCGATTTGCAATTACTGAAAGAAATATAAAATCAAGATGGCTTTCACAACAAGGCCCTAATTGCGGTTTGAAAGTAATATTAAAGGTACTTTCACAGTTCGCTGCTGCCTGATTAGTAATGCAAAATAAGTTCACAACAGCGAACTGTGAAACTACCTTTAGAACTGAATAGAGGAATTTAAAGTTGGCTGCAGTGCTCTTTTCGATTCAGCTTTTTCACATGAACGGTCACGGTGAAATAAAATTTAAAAAAATTGCAAAAATGGTAAGTTTTTTTCTTTTAAATATAATTAAATTTTTTTTTAAATTGCATATAATTAATTTTTATTCTTTAATTAAAATATTCTAACCTCACTTTGTCACATGTTTTTTGTTTTTTTAAATTGCATATAATTAATTTTTATTCTGTAATTAAAATATGCTAACCTCACTTTGTCACATGTTTCTTTTTGTTTCAAAATTCATATAATCCTTCCTTTTGCAACAGTGATTGTTGCCTGTGCCGGCTACTGGTATGGATTCAAACCTATGTAAGTAATATTTAAAATAAGTGATAATTATTATAAGCGCGTATTGCATTATTCTAACAGAAAAAAAATTAACAAATGATTGCTGATAATTGAGGTTAGATTCTGTTTAAGTTTAATTTTTTCTATGTTAGAATAATTTAATACGCTTATACTAATTACTTTTTTAAATATTTAATTTTTTTCAGTTAAATCCTGACAGTCGAGTTCAGAACTTTTTTACATCACGACATCTACAGAGCTACCGATTTCCAAGTCAAGCTCACGGTCAACCTCACAGTCAACCTCACAGTCAAGCTCACGGACTATCTCACAGTCAAGTACATCCTGGTCCATCTCACAGTTAAGTACATCCAGGTCTATCTCACGGTCAAGTATATCCAGGTCCAATATATCCTGAATATACAACATCACATTCGGGATATAGTAATGTAAGTTTTTCCAATTTCTAATTTTTGAAAATTAAAAAAAATAATATTATAATAAAAATAATATATATTTGAATGTACTATTAATATAATTAATTAATTAATTTTTTAAATTTAAGTTTATACTTTCAGGAAGGAATGCGCAAAACAAGATGGAAGGGAAGTGTACCACGAGTACCACGTGTACCTGTTCCACGTGCACCCACACCACGTGTACCTGTTCCACAGGCACCAACACCTCGTGCACCTACACCTACTCCACGTGCACCTTCACGACATGTACCGACACCAAAGGCAGCCACTCCATCTTCCAGCACTTCGTCCAGTTCATCGTCAACAATATCATCGTCGTCAACATCATCATCTGATGATGAAAATCCGTGTGTGCGGAAAAAAACCACACCAAAGCCTCCCCCAACAGGTACAAAAAAATCAAAGAAAAGCTAAAATCAAAGAAAAGCTAAAATCAAAAAAGCTAAAATCAAAAAAAGATACAAAAAGAGGAAAGGCATTTATTTTTTTTCTTTTACTCTTATTTTTTTCTTTTACTTTTATTTCTTTCTTTTACTTTTATTTTTTTCTTTTACTTTTATTTCTTTTGCTTTTATTTTTTTCTTTTAAAGAAATTCTGCAGCTGTTGTTATTTTAGAAAAAAAAGATTGTCTTTTAATTTTCTTTTTATTTTGAGAAATTAAAAGAGAATCTTTTTTTTCCAGAGTAGCAGCTGGAGAACTTCCTTAATTGCATCTTTTTTTGTTTTTAAGAATGCTAACTACGATTTATGTATCTATCTAAATACTTAAGAGTCGAAGATTATGACTTATTTCAAACTAATCTAAAATTTAAAAAAAAGTATTACTTAGTAATATATATGACGGTTTATAAAATTCATTTTAGAACTTGTAATTGCAGTTATTATTTGAATACTGATCACTTAAAAAAATTGAACTTATTAATAAACCTTAATATTTATCACTAAATAATACTGATTTTTTTTATGTAACAAAAAAGCGATATTTTCTTAAGAATGATAACCACGATTTATGTATCTTTCTAAATACTTAAGAGTTGAAGATTATGATTTAGTTTAAAAGTTTCAAAATATTGTACACGACTTTAACAGCATGTGACTGTTAGGTCACGTGACTCATAATAGGAAACTACTCGAACGTCTTTTGCGTAAAATATTAAATGAATTGAGATGGAATTTTGTGTATACGTCTAAAATTTAATAAGGAAGAGTTCTCTGATATGAAACAATATATATTTTGTTTGAATAATAATTCAAAAAAAATATGAAAATGACATAAAAGTGAGGTTACGTGGAGAGTGTAAAGTGACGACTGTGTACTAATTGTGATCGCATTGCGGAAGTGTGTCGGTAAGTATGCATTGCATTATCGCGGTAAATTTGAATTTCGTAAGAAACACGAAATTAAATTATCATAAAAATAAGGACAAATAATAATTATTACGATTAATTAATAACATAATTTAATTTTTAAAGAAGATTAATAAATTAATTATTAACAATTATTATCAATAACGAAAGTGATTATTTATACCGACAGATTAGCTCAGTCGGATAGATGCCTGGCGTTGGCGGTCGTTTAAAGGACCAAGGGTATAAGTATCCTTGGTTCGCGCCCACTTGGCTTGGTATTTTTCCAGCACGTGAGACAATCTGAGCGGGAGGTTTGACGTCGAGGTATAATGATGTACACCGTCGATTATTGTCCGGTACACACCATCAGAACTCGACTGTCGATAAACCGGTTGTACTCAGGAGAGGTTTTCTACAGTTTCCCTCTTCTCTGGCGAGAAAACCCATTGACGGGTGGTCCAGGCGCAATCCGAGTACTCCTAATAAAAAATCGGCTGTAGACGCAAATTTAGGTTAATATATAGAAAATTTATGTAGAATGGTTATGCTTAATCCAAAAAAAGTATTTCTCGGGGACTCTTGTCGAAGTGCGTAAAAGCCAATAGGGCAGGAGTATAAACAATAAATAAATAAAAAAAAAAAAAAAAGTGATTATTTATAAATTTAAATTCTATTTAGACAAAAAAAATACTTACAATTTGAAGTAAATTATAATGTTAATTGTTTATAAAATTATAAATTATTATTATTATTTTATAAATTATTAATTTTAATTATAGTACCTTATAGAAGTAATATTTTTATTGTCAGAAAATAATAATATTTTAGATGTATTAAATTAAAATTTGTTAAATTATTTTGATAGTTTCATATTGATACATTATTATTATTATTATTTATTTATTTATTTATTTATGTTGTACATATTACTTTAAATAAATTAAATTTAAAAAATGTATCTTATATTCTTCTTGTTTAATATTTTAATTATAATAAATAATATATTATTTAAAAATTAAAAAAACAAATTATAATAATAATAATAACAATAATAATTATTATTATTATTATTATTATTGACAAAATTAATTCAATAACTAATTACTAAAGAGAAAAATTTTTATAAAAATATATTATTATTTTTATAAACAAATAATAAGAAATTATCTATATTAGCAATATTATTGATTTGCGTTTGTTTATTTTCTAATGAGAATTATTCAAAGCAACTTAATTTATTAACATTTTGTAGACAGTTTATACTCAATAAGAGAAATGAACGTGAAAAAAATTTCTGAAATTTATACAAATACAAAAGTACTCACTCAACTTTGTACATTGTTCCATTGATAGCACAAGCCTGCAAAAAAATAAAAATTTCCCTTGTCTGAAATCGAGAAGTCATTTCCCGCAGTATTTGGTGCGCTGAATCCGAATCTGGCAACGAAAACCTCCCATCACGTCAGGATTTTGAGAAAAGTGGGGGTAAATTCCTAAAAATCATGTTTTTCGCAGTTTTTAAAATTTCTACTGGGTAAGTCCGATGTGCTAGAGACTTGTCATAGGAGTCAAATTAAAGCCTGAACCCTGTACTTTAAGAAGAAATAGCGATATTGCTAACAACAAACTAAATTAGCCGTCAAAAATGATTTTTTTAACAGTTGGCAATCATAAAAATTGACTGACACTGTCCGTAAATACAACTATTTTAAAAAATGATTGGATTCGCTTAGAATTTATTGCTTTGGGGTTTTCGGGGTCGTTGCTTACAAATATGATGTCAAAATAAAAAATCTGTAGTTGAATTCATAATCAACGACCCCAAAAACCCCCGAGTAACAAGTTTCAAGTGAATTTGATCAATTTTGAAAAATAAGTCCGCTATATTGTATCTGACATTTTGAATTTTAATAATCTGACAACATATTAGTAATCAGCGACCCCAAAACCCCCTGAGTAACAAATTTTGAGCGAATTCAATCATTTTTCAAATAGTTTTATTTACGGACAGTGTTTGTCAATTTTTATATTTGACAACTGTTAAAAAAAATCATTTTTGATGGCTAATTTAGTTTGCTGTTAGCAACATCGCTATATCTTCTTAAAGTACAGGGTTCATGCTTTAATTTGACTCCTATGACAAGTCTCTAGCACGTCGGATTTACCTGGTAGAAATTTACAAAAACAGCGAAAAACATGATTTTTGGGAATTTACCCCCACTTTTCTCAAAATCCTGACGTGATGGGAGGTTTTTGTTGCCAGATTCGGATTCAGCGCACCAAATACTGCGGGAAATGACTTCTCGATCTCAGACAAGGGAAATTTTTATTTTTTTGCAGGCTTGTGTAGTTTTAGTGATAAATAATGTAAAGTTAAAAAATTGCTATTTGAAAAAATTGTAGAAAAAGAGATTTTTTTATGTCCGAAGATGGCAAAAGTTTATAAAAGTTTAAAATTATATGTTTATTTTCACAGTATTATAATAAATAAATAATTTAATAATTAATCAATAGTCATGATAGATATTTTTTTTTTTACATTCAGGTGTTCAACACTCCTTGAAAAAGAATGTTTTATTTATTGTTTGTATATAAATATTTATTATATATAACATACTATATTATAATATATATAACATATTTATATTATTTCTATATTCATATATTTATGCTTCAAATCTTTGTCTCTTATAACTCACATTTATAGATATTTCTTCTTTGAAATCATAAAGAGCGAAGGAATTATTTTTTCACTCAAATAGAGAAATTTTATTTTCAAAACTTATGGTAATTTTAAACATAAATTGTGAACATAGTATTCAGATTTAATTTAAAACAATTTTATAATGTAAATTTTGTTAAATAAATGAAAAATTTCAAATTAAATATAATAATTATAATATAAAATATAATTACCTACTTATTTATATTTAATTTAAATTAAGATACATATTTTTAAAAATAAAATTTTTCTATTTTTCATAAGCAATACAATAGTGTCATTTACTTTTTTATTACACAATATACATAACGCAGAATTAGTAAAAATTTTACTCACTAAAATGCAGAAAACAAATTTAAAAAATGTTAGAAAAACGAAAGTAAACCTAAATTCTAACAAATTTGGCCTTTTTTACATCAAAAATCGCCTTTTCACACTATTCTTTTTAAAATAATAAAAAATAAAATAAAAATTTTTAATAAAAATAATTAATAGTGTTGCAGTAAATAAAAACTTTAAAAAAAGAGATTTTATGATTCACGATTAATAGTACAGTAGTCAAGAAACTAACAATATATTAAAGTAAATTTACTCAAAAATCTTTTTGACGTAAATAATAAAAGAACATATAAGTAATAATAGTTTTATAATATTTGAGAACGAAAACGAATGTACTAAAAATATCGCCCCCTTGGAGGTAGATATTGTCTTCTTAAAGGAGGCGGCGGATACCTGTACTGTGCAGGGAAATAAGACTCGGAAGGGTATTTTGGGTCGTCATATTCATAATGTCCGTCGAACTGTGGAAAGTCTGGTCTAAAGTAACTGTCATAAGGTCTAGAAAAATGTTCGCCTCGTTGATAATAGTCGTTTCTACTTAGTCTGTCGCTTCTGGGTCGTCTATAATAATTATAATTGTCGTTATCGTCACGTCTTCTATTGTAATTGATGCGTCTCCTGTCATTGTCATCGTCTCGACGTCTGTCATTGTCATCATGTCGTCGTCTGTCATTGTAATCATCTCGAAGTCTGTCATTGTTATCATGTCGTCGTCTGTCATTGTCATCATGTTGTCGTCTGTCATTGTCATCATGACGACGTCTATCATTGTCATCATGTCGTCGTTTGGCATTGTCATTTTGTCTACGTCTATCATTGTCATCATATCGACGTCTATCACTATTGTCATATCGTCGTTCATCATTATCGTCAGGTCGACGTCTGTCATTATCATCTCTACGTCTTTCACTACCATCTCGTCGACGATTCTCATTGTCGTCTTGTCTTCGTCTTTCACTATAATCTTGTCGATGCCTATCACTGTCATCTTGTCGACGCTTTTTGTGGTCATCTTTTCTATGTCTTTCGACTTTCGTCTTTCTTCCGTAAAATTTGTGTTTGTCAAAGTCCTGTTGACGTTTTTGCGAAGTCTGTTCGTATTGTGCCTCCTCTTCGTCTTGTGTGTCCCCTTCTTCTTCTTCTTCTTCTTCTTCTTCTTTGTCATCTGCATCCAGATCGTCTATACTGTCGACATCATCATCGCCACCATTTTTGGACACAATTTCACTAATTCCATTACTTACCCAGTGTGCACGTACTATAACTGTTTTAGACCAAAAAAAGAACAGTGTTCTAGAATAAGTGTTACAATTTTATTATAGAATAGTTCTAGAGCTTTGTTCTAAATTTGTTCTGGAATAGTTGTTCTGTATCTGTTCTATAACAGACATGTAACATTTGTTTTAAATTAGTTATAGAATTTTGAAGTAACATTGTTCCTACAGTGTTCTAGAACACTGTTACAAAAATTTATTATAACTGTTTTTTCACTATAAACTCGTGTTTATTTTCACTACACGGAAAGATATTATTAAATTTTATAAAAGTATTTTACAAGTGTAGGACAAAATGCGCCAAAGGAAAATTTTGATATCAACAAACTAACACAGTAAATCTGAATTTAAGATCGGTCTTAAATTCAGCACTGTCTGCTATAATGTTAAAGGATATAAAAATGTTGTATCTTAATTTAAGGCTGCTTTCCTGCTTTAAAATAAGACTTTCTTTTTACTGTAAAACTTTAACAAAACGTACCTATATAAAATTTAGTGAAGTTATATTAAAATTTGTTAAAAGTTTTCGATATTTGATATAACTTTACTAAATATAGTATAATTTTTATTAAAGTTTAATACTTCTAATATAATAACTAATATAATAACTTTCTTTCCGTGTAGAGTGCAGCCGCGTTTTTGCATGAATTACAAAAAATCTTTTGAATTTAGATACTTAGAATCCCAGGTGCGAATTTAGGTTGGCCGCCAGAGTTTGAAGGTTGGCCCAAGGTTGGCCTAACTTTGGCAAGGGAAGTTTTGGTTGCCAGAGTTTGCCCAACTTTGGCAAGTACTAGTGCCCACAGTTGGCCCGACTTTGCAAGCCAACCATTAAATGCAGAGTTTAACCAACCGTCGGGCCAACTTTGGCGACAAAGGTTGGCACAACGCATCCAAACGTAGTTTAAAAGACTTTCAGTTTCGGTTGGCCCGACGGTTGGCAAAACTTTGTGAATCGCAGTTTAATTGACTTACATTATTTTGGTCGGCCGAACTCTGGGCCACGGTTGGCCCGACGGTTGGCGAAACTTTGTCAAATGCAGTTTAAATGACTTAAACATTCTTGGTCGGCCGAACTCTGGGCCACGGTTGGACCAACGATTGGCAAAACTCTGTGAAACGCAGTTTAATTGACTTGATTTTTCTTGGTTGGCCGAACTCTGGGCCACGGTTGGCCCGACGGTTGGCGAAACTTTGTCAAATGCAGTTTAAATGACTTAAACATTCTAGGTCGGCCGAACTCTGGGCCACGGTTGGACCAACGGTTGGCAAAACTCTGTGAAACGCAGTTTAATTGACTTGATTTTTCTTAGTTGGCCGAACTCTGGGCCACGGTTGGCCCGACGGTTGGCAAAACTATGTCAAATGCAGTTTAAATGACTTAAACTTTCTTGATCGGCCGAACTCTGGGCCAGGGTTGGCCCGACTGTTGCAGCTTTAATATACATTTTGCGATATGCACTCCCATGTGAGCGTAGCGTAGTGGTCAGTGTATAAGTCTTCGGTGCGTTAGGTTAGGGGTTCGATCCCAGCGAGCGTTAGATATTTTCGAAAATGTATGTATGAGATTGTGTTTAATAATAATAGGTAAAGGTTATATCTGATGTTCCCGCTAATAATAACATGTTAATTGTTTAAATAATTTAGTTTTTTAATAATTTTTTACCTTTGGCTGTTGAAGTTGGCCAAACTTTGAAAATTGGGGTAGGCCCAACTTACGCATCTAAAGTTGTGCAAACTTTGGCGTCAGTCTTTAGACCAACCATTGAAATGTGTAGTTGGCACAACAAATGCATTGTAAGTTGGGCCAACTTCCTTATGAGTTGTCGGGCCAACCATCGTCGCCATTAGACGGCGACCGTTATCATCTGTATGGTTGGCCCAACCTCTGGCACGCACGAGAAGTTGGACCGACTTTGTAAAAGTTGGCCCAACTATGGGCCGACCAAAAAATCGCACCTGGGATGACTCGTATCGATGATTCGTGAAAAATTAAATAATTTTTCACTGTTAGCTTGCATAAATTTTCAAGATTTTTAAAAACATTAGTCACCAACAATAACATCAAATATTTAATTAATTTATTATCAATTATTAATTAATAGGTACACTGGGGTCAAAAAGTTTCAGTACATTTGTACTGATTACTGTTAAGTGCTCGCTTCACTTAAAATTCAAATATTTCTGTAAAAATAGATGTAAGAGCTATCAAAGTAGGATCATTTTAAAGTTCAATAAATTTAGAGTCAAATAGGATAAGATATAACCAATTTAATAGTGTAAATATTAAAAATATAGGGGAGAGTCTCCAGTTGTGAGACGGGTTTCATTTTTGACCCGTAAATTGTAAACGGGTAAACGAAATTGTAAATAAAATACACCGTTCGAAAGGCAACAGAAATACGCAACTTTTATTAAAAGAAAGTGTAGTGTTTCCATGAACTCAAAAAATTTTACGATACATTTTCCGAGCACATCGCTTTTGTCAAAAAAAAAAAATGTCTCCAGTTGTGAGACACTCATTAAAAATTGCTAAAATTTAATAAGTTTGACATAAAACGTTATGTTTAGTAGAAATAATTAAATATATTAATAATATATATTATTATATACTAAATAATAATATTTATTCGCCAAAATATGACTATCAAATAAACACAATTTAATAGCTTCAACAAGAGCATTAAAATTGATTTCTTCTGAATCAATTGACTTTTTTCCACTTGACATGCCCAAAAATACTAGAAAAAAAATCAAAACAACATTTAACTAGTATGCCTGCAAAGTCGTATTTTTTATGCTGCCCAGATGGGTGTTGACACCGTCTCACAACTGGTGATATGCTGTGTCTCACATCCAGAAATTGGCGCTATTTTGAAAAAAGAAAATTAAATTATTTTTAACCGTAGATTGGAACAATGCAATATTGCATCACAAAATATAAGGAAAACACTAACAGAAAATGCATTACATTTACCTTTTCCAATTAATTAACTTGGAAAAAAAGTACTTTGCATTTATTGAAAAAACGCTTTTTAGTCGATTATCACACACAGTGTTGGTATTTAACAAAAACAGTTTATATATTCGCTTCGGCGTACACGAAAAAGTTGGCTCATATAAAAAGAAATGTTTTTATATAAACCAATCGGCTTTTAACTATTGCATGTTAACAAAAATTGACTGTCTTACAACTGGAGGTGTCTCACAACTGGAGACCCTCCCCTAATTCTTTATCGTTAGAGATTTTTTGTGAAAATTGCGATTTTGAAATCTAGAATTCAAGCGTACGCCAATTGAAGAAAAAAATTTCTAAGTTTTGATAGTTGCACAGTAAAAAGTACAAATTTCATTCTTTAATTCTAGACTAAAATTATTCACATATATTAAGTATTTTCTTCAAATTCTATAAAAATAATATCTCTTGCTCTTAATTTTTCGAAGAATATAAATTGCAAATTCGTCGTTTTCATTCACTTGTTCTATCAAATAACCACACTTTTGAAAAATATAGAACCTCTTCATCTTAGAAAATTTAAGATATTTACATGAAACTTATCCCTCTTCTTATAGTTTTACAAATTTTAACTCTATCATTATTCCTTATTTTCTTTCTAGGTGACTATTTTTTTATTTTACAATAACAAAAAGGCGCATATTTTTCAAAAGTGTGGTTAATTGATAAAACAAGTGAACGCAAACGACGAATTTGCAATTAATATTCTTTGAAAAATTTTGTGAGCAAGGGAAGTTATTTTTATAGAATTTGAAAAAATTACTTAATATTTGTGAATTATTTTGGTCTAGAATTAAAGAATGGAATTTATACTAGATATTGTGCAACTATCAAATCTTAAAAAAAAATTTTCTTTAATTGGCGTACGCTTGAATTCCAGATTTCAAAATCGCAATTTTCACAAAAAATCTCTAACTTTAAAGAATTATATTTTTAATATTTACACTATTAAATTGGTTATGTCTTAGCTTATTTGACTCTAAATTTATCAAACTTTAAAATGATCCTACAGTACCGTCCGAAATTGTCAGTCCACCCATTTTCAAAGGAATGACAAAAATTTTTTAACATAAAATTCATAAAAAGTAAAATTTTTTTTGGTTTATATTTTGAAAGACGATAAAATTTTAAAAAGAATAAGACCTTACAGAAGTCATTTGGCCAAAATTTGTAGAAGATATTCTTAAAAATCGTCATTTTCAATGTTTTACAAAAATTTGAATAATTTCTAAAATAATGAACGCTTTTTAATAATCTTAGGCTTATTTTAAAGACCATTTTCTACAGAATAAGAATTACTTATAGGCATTAACCTGTAATTTTTAACTTGGAGTAAGCATGACGTCAAAGTTGGACAAAAAAATTCAAAAAATTTGAAATAATATTATTAAAAGAAAAATAATTTTTGAAACTCAAACATATATTTTTATTAAATTTTCTTGAAAAATCTACACCATATCATGTTTTATATATGTTCTAGAATAGTTTTTAGTACAAAAAATTGATTTCAAATTTTTCCAATTTTTTTGTCTAATTTTGACGTCATGCTTATTCCAAGTTAAAAATGACAGGTTAATGCTTATAAGTAATTCTTATTCCGTAGAAAAAGACCTTTAAAATAAGCCTAAGATTATTAAAAAGCGTTCATTATTTTAGAAGTTATTTAAATTTTTGTAAAACATTGAAAATGACGATTTTTAGGAATATCTTCTACAAATTTTGGCCAAATGACTTCTGTAAGGTCTTATTCTTTTCAAAATTTTATCGTCTTTCAAAATATAAACCAAAAAAAATTTTAGTTTTCATGAATTTTATGTTAAAAAATTTTTGTCATTCCTTTAAAAATGGGTGGACTGACAATTGCGGACGGTACTGTATTTTGATAGCTCTTACATCTATTTTTACAGAAATATTTGAATTTAAAGTGAAGCGAGCATTTTAAAGTAATCAGTACAAATGTACTGAAACTTTTTGACCCCAGTGTATATTATAAAAATACAATAATAAATTATTATTATTAACTAATTAATTAAAATTTGTTATTATTTGTAGCATAATTATATACTATTATTTGTAATAAAAAAATTTATATATATATGTCGTAGGCAAATAGAAAAATCCGGCATTTAGCTTAATGCCTAGGCATTGGGCTAAATGCCGGCAAGTAGATAAATGAATCGTAAAAAATGGTTATTTTTCTATTTGCCTGAAATCAATTAGTCATTTACCTTATTGACTAGGCGTTAAGGAAATTGCCTAAGTAGCACCCGTCAAATAGAAAAATGAGAATATGTGCATGTGTCACTCAACAGAAATATTAAAAAAAATATGTCAAAATTAATTAACACAAATTGGGTCTTGCATAACTCTTTCGGTTCCGGCTGTAGATCGTGGACCATTTGATTTCGCGATTATTTTTGGTGTCATTTTAGATGTTCAAAATGGTGTTTATCAGATAGGAACTAAGGGTGGAATTATAAAAGGTTGGTTTCCTCGAACTGACATTGTGCAATCGGGAACCGAAATTATAAAAGTTGACGACGTATGTAAAGATGTTACATTAACTTTAAGGGAAGCTGTGTCTCAGAAATCTATGACTGGTGGACAGGGTTACAAAACATGTAACTGTAAGGCAGCTTTGAATCAATGTGAAACAAACAGATGCTCTTGGTAAAAGGCTAAAATACTATGTAACTCGCGGTGTCATCAGTCCTCTACATGCCGCAATAAATAAATAAAAAATATAATTATTATTGATAATAAAATATTTGTGTTAATTAATTTTGACATATTTTTTTTTTAATATTTCTGTTGAGTGACACATGCACATACAGTAGGATCTTTCAATAGTGCAGTCGTCGGGAATATTGTGCACTATTCGAAGCAAGCAAAAACTAAAACATTCAGGTCCGTGTCAAGAAAATTAAGGGTCCCCCACTACTAAATACCGGGCACCACTAAATGATACTAAATAATCAAATGAGCGACGGCACTGTATTTGACGTCACAGATTCCTTTCCTCTTTGCCCCCCGAAACCTCTTGTCTACTCAACTTACTAATGACTGCACTGTTCAGAACTGCACTATTCAAAGATCCTACTGTATTCTCATTTTTCTATTTGCCGGGTGCTACTTAGGCAATTTCCTTAACGCCTAGTCAATAAGCTAAATGACTAATTGATTTCAGGCAAATAGAAAAATAACCATTTTTCACGATTCATTTATCTACTTGCCGGCATTTAGCCCAATACCTAGGCATTAAGCTAAATGCCGGATTTTTCTATTTGCCTACGACATATATATATATATATATATATATAGTCATTTTCACGATTTTTCAACCATTATGAAGACTGACGCACTGAGCAGTTGAATCGCGCATCGATAGTGGGGAGTGCTAGCTATAAGGTGGGGAGTGCTGGCTATAAGGTGCCGCTCCGAATCCAAGTGCATCATTCTTTTTATATATATATATATATATATGTGACAAGTACTTTTTAGGATGCATGATTGTAGTTTTTAGGTTATCTTTTTTCCAGTTTTCTCTAAGAATTTTTTAATATATTTTTAACTTAATAGAAATTTTTTAAAAGTATTTTTTTAAAAATTCTATTTTTTCACTATTTACAGAATTGAAAATTAATCGAAGGAAAATACATAGGCTTATTCTATAAGGGTTTAAAACATACTTTTGTAATTCTTGTAAAATTTTTTTAATAGATCTTTGTGTTGCATAAATGAAATTAAAAAAAAATTCTATATAATTATAAATTCTGTAAAACATGAAAAAAATTCTAGAAATTTCACTTGCATTTTAAAGTATATTTAAAAAAATATAGAGAAAACTTTGATTTTAGAATCGAAAATGGATCCATACGAGGTTGATCAGGATGACGATTCGAATTCTATTATCGTCAATTTAGATGATAATGATAGTGATGATGATATTGAAAATGGCTTTATTGTAATAGACCATTACAATTCAGAAGCAGATACTATATTTATAAGCAGTTCTGATGATGATGATAATGACGATGATGTTCCTTATGATCATGATGCTACTTATAATGAGGAGTTTATTGCTGAAAGTGATCAATATTCTGATAATGAGGATTATTATGCTCATAATGCTTCTTATTCATATATTGACATTTATTCTGGTAATGAGGATGAGCTCGAGGAGGATGATGACTACAATAATAGTATCTTAGTAATTGATTTGGATGTGGAAGAGGTTAGTAGATTAATTTATCAAGTAATATATATGACTAGAAGTTAAAAAAGTGTATTTTTTACAGATAGATGAAATGCAGTGGGGTGTTAAATTTTAATGTAAAAATTTCTATATTTTTGTTATAAAATACAAGATAAAATTATTTTGAAAATGGTCTTATATTTTTTCTTCCAAACATTTTGTATAGATAAGAGTTTGCGCGCGCATGTAGAGGTGTGGTTTAAAACTGCGCATGTTTGAAATTTTGTGGTAGGGGGAGTAAGAGAAAAGTGGGGTAATGGTTATAAAAGTGAAGTCTAAGCCAGCAGAGATATTATTTCTTTTAGGTCTTTTTTAGTAATAGTAAGTACAACCTTTTTTTTCTTTTTCAGCTTTATTTTCTAAGTTCTATTTTCAGCTTTATTTTCTAAGTTCTATTTTCAGCATTATATTCTAAGTTATATTTCCAGATAAATTTTCTAAGTTCTTTTTTTAGCATTACAGTCAGGTCTCGCCAAGTGTCGTTTTCAGTAAGTGTCATGACTCACAAAGTGTCATCGTTCAAGACCCAACAAGTGTCACTTTTCCCACTTTTTTTTACCCTCTCCAATGCTAAAAATGGACTTCCCCAAACCGGTTTGCAACATAAACCAATGAAATGGCCACTTTTATTAAAGGGGCGTGGCTTAGGCCACTGACACTTACTGAGACAGACGGTCTCAAAAAATTCCCAGTGACGACACTTAGCGAGACCTGACTGTATTTTCTAAGTTCTATTTTCAGCTAAATTTACTGAATTTCTATTTTTCAAATAAATTTTTAAGTTATTTTTTATAGCAATTTTTTAAAGTTCTTTTTAGTTGTATTTTCTAAGATTTTCTTTTTCAGTTTCTATTATAAGCTTTATTTTAATTTTGAAACTATTTTTTTTATGTATTACAGGTTTATTAAATCTATAGTTTTTTTTAATTAAGGAAGATTTCGACTATATGAGCAATTAGTGACATCTATTAGACGTCGATTGAACTCTTTGGTTTAGAGTCAGGTGTTATTCTTAAGATAATTATTCCGATATGGTTGTAGGTATATAATTATATTTTTTGAATTTTAATTTTTGATCTGAAAAAATAAGCTGCGTGAACGACTGCACTGTGCATCTGTGAGGACTCGAACCCTAGTTAATAGCTGCCTTTCGCGGGACTAACGCCTACCAATGCACCATGCCAACACAGCCCGGACACACAGATGCACAGTGCAGTCGTTCACGCAGCTTATTTTTTCAGATCAAAAATTAAAAATTCAAAAAATATAATTATATACCGACAACCATATCGGAATAATTATCTTAAGAATAACACCTGACTCTAAACCAAAGAGTTCAATCGACGTCTAATAGATGTCACTAATTGCTGATATAGTCGAAATCTTCCTTAATTAAAATTCTTAATCAGCAAATAATTTCCTACATTAACTATACAGCTCTTCGACTAGTGTATGGGCTTGATTTGACGATTATAAGAGGCGTGAACGTCCGGGCTGTGTTGGCATGGTGCATTGGTAGGCGTTAGTCCCGCGAAAGGCAGCTATTAACTGGGGTTCGAGTCCTCACAGATGCACAGTGCAGTCGTTCACGCAGCTTATTTTTTCAGATCAAAAATTAAAAATTCAAAAAATATAATTATATACCGACAACCATATCGGAATAATTATCTTAAGAATAACACCTGACTCTAAACCAAAGAGTTCAATCGACGTCTAATAGATGTCACTAATTGCTCATATAGTCGAATTCTTCCTTAATTAAAATTCTTAATCAGCAAATAATTTCCTACATTAACTATAGTTTTTTTACTCTTTTTTCAAATTTTAGGTTTTTTATCTTAGGGGCCGTACACATAATACGTCACGCGGCTAGGGGGAGGGAGGGGGTCTAAGAATTGTGACTAAGTGTGACATGGGGGAGGGGGGGTGAACTCATGTGTTACGTCACAATCTTTTAAATTCAAAGATTATAAGAAATTATATGTGACAATGTCACTTTTTCTATATAAAACAAGTTAAAAATGCTGTAAACTATTTAATATCTATCACGTACCTGTTTAACATCTATTGGTATATTATTTATAATATGATAAATAATATATTCTCTTAATTTGAATCAGTTAAAAATCATGGTTTTTACTGACAATCAGCAGTGACTGACTTTTTGCTTCTGAATCAGTTAAAAATAACTGAAAAATTATCCACAAAACACCGAAATTTTTCTAAATATTGTATATTAAAGATTTGCTTGCATAATTCGAAAAATTTACTTGCAAAGTTTATTTTAAAATTGTGTAGGGTCAATTGGGGGTAAATGTAAACAGTAGATGTTTCAGCTAAATTTACAAATTTAAAAATAAGTACGACGTCAATATTTTTACCTCAGCTCACCTACAAGATGTTCTGAGTATTGCCAATATTTTATTTTGACAATTGGCAATGCCATAGTGTAAGTTATTTTTTAATGCAAAAATGATTGAAAATCAAAATTTTACTGTTTCAGTATTTTGTTTCGCATTTTCATAAAAATAAATTTAAAAATCAAACAAAAATATGTCATTCTTCCTTATTAATGCCCTAACAAAAATTGACTTTGATTTTTGATTTTCGTCAATTTAGTTAATAAATAATTAAGTGTTTACATTTACCCCGAGAATTCGAAAACTCGGGGTAAATGTAAACAGAACTTTAACTACATTTTAAAAGAAAATAATTGAATAAATTTGCTTCTATTTCATAATTTCATTAATTTGGCAATGTAAATATTACATAGAAAAGGAAATTAGGTCCTCTTTGAAAAAAAAAATTTAAAAAAAAAAAAAAAAATTTGATCAATTTTTAAAAATATTTTTAGATTCATTCGCCATTTTGAAAATTTAAAATTTGACTTCAAATTCGTATTCAGCGACCTCAAAAACCCCCGAGTAGCCAGATTCAAGCAAATTTGATCAATTTTTAAAAATATTATTTTTAAGTTCATCCGCCATATTGGATCCACCATTTTGAAATTTAAAAATTCGATTTTAGATTCTTATTCAGCAACCTTGAAAACTTCTTTTTACCAAGTTGAATGAAAATCTATTAAAATTTGTTCAAGTTATTCAAGTTTTTACATTACTAATTTTGTAATGGTTGATTGTTTATTTATATGATACATTATCAGTCAACTGGTTGATTTACTATACATCTACGAAGAATTTTTTTCCAGTTTTTCCATCCCTTAAAACAGTAGTATACTTGAAATAACTTGTTTCTTAAACCTCGCTTAACTACAGTGGTGTTTACATTTACCCCGAATTTTAGGAAAATTTCAAAATCTCGGGGTGAATGTAAACAGTCAGTTTTAGGCGATTCAGGTGCATCAATATTTTTTTGTACCTCATAAAATTTTTCTAGGTAACACTAGCAACAAGTTCATGCAAAAGAAATTCGTCCGTTTTACCTTTTAACAAAAAAAACTAAGTTTTTTGGTGAAAGATACATATTCCGTTTACATTTACCCTAATTGACCCTAAAGATTTAAATTTCTCACTCCAATAAATGTCTATCGTCAAATTTTCTTAAAAATATAGCTTGAAAGTTTACTGAACATTTAAATTACATTTTCGACTATTATACTTTCGTGAAAATTTTCCTGAAAATTTAAGTTAAATTTTCAGGAAAGTTTTGCACTAAACACTTATTGAAGTGGGATATTTAAATCTTTACACAATCTTCACTAAACTTTGCATTTAAATATTTCGAAGCTTGCGAGTAAATCTTTAATAAATTGTTAGAACAGTTTCGGTGCTATGTAGGTAGTTAAACGTGACTAATTTGAATTAATAAAAAAAAATTGTATTGAAACATCAATTATTTTTAACTAATTGTCAGAAAAAATATTACTATTTGAATTAGTGTCTGATTTTTTGCTTTTAAATCAGTTATTTTCAACTGATTCAATAATTTAGAGTGTATAGGATATAATATATAATGTCCAATGTATAAAATTTACAGTGAAATTTACGTGTGTGACGTGACGTAGGGGGAGGGGGGGGGGGGTTCAAGATTTGTGACGAAGTGTGACATAGGGGGAGGGAGGGGTTAAAAATGGTCAAAAATCGCGTGACGTATTATGTGTACGGCCCCTTAGAAAAAAAGAAAATGGATCTCGAAAAAGTTAACGCAGTCGGACGCTTTGAAGGATATCTGCCAACGAAACCTCTATCTGAATTGACAAAAAATGGTCTCTACTACATTACAAAACTGAAGAA